TGCTCTTCTCCCCACTGAACTTGACCTTATCCCTTACCCTAACCCTATGGAGATGGTACCTATTTTAAAGTTCCTGGGCTCACCCGAGCGGCACTGGTATGACACCATCTACAGCTCTTCACCTGCGACTTGTTTTGTAAGGAATACACAGGGAAGGTGGGTAGTTAAGCCAGAATAAAGCAAAGAAGGGGCAAAACTGTTAGGAGATACTTGATGATTGAAATCAAAATCATAACACTATCGGATGTGGTTCTGAATATATCTAGAAAAGATATTTAAGACAATTGTACTACAAACAATTATACTATAAGGGGACGAAAGTGAAGTAAGGCTTCTTGTACTTCACTTGAGTTAGAACAATGATTATACCAGTAGATCATGATGAGTAGTACCTACAGCAACCACTATAAAAGCTGTACAAAAATATATACTCACAAACAACACAGGTAACTCCAAATGGAATTCTAAAACTCTATAGGAAAACAGGAAAAAGAAAACAAACAGAAAAAACATACATTCTAATATGTCAGTGTTACACTATATGTAAATGTTTCATTGTTCCAATTAGAAGACAGAAATTGGCTGAGTGTATAAAACACCATGGTTCACTCATATGGTGCCTACAAGAAACTCATTTCACATGTAACGTAATAGGATGGAACATGTATATCACGGAAACATTAATCAAAGGAAAACAGAAGTAAGACTATATTAATAACAGATAAAATAGAGCTCAGAGCAAAGAAAATTACCAGAGACAAAGAGACATTCTGTGGTGATGAGAGAATCAGTCAGAAGACAGCAAACGGAGGTGAATACGCACCAGGCAATACAGCTGCAAAATACGAGACCCCAAACTCCTGGAACTGAATGAAAAAAGAAACAAATCCAAAAGTATACCTAGAGACTAATAATTACAGATAGAGGAACGTCCTTCAGTGTGCTAAAAGCATCCTCCTCTACAGCTCGCAATCAGAGTACTTAAGAAAGCCAGAAACACAATAAATCCTGACATGTGAGCAAACATTTACAGCGAGCAAGTGTTGATGAAGTTCAGGACATGCATCTCCAAAATATGGCAGCTTGAAGTTTGAGGAAACGGCAGAAGCAGGAAGGTGTCTTCCTCAAGTTCCCTTCACCCTTCTCACCCAGAGCAGGGCACGAGACCCTCCTGTGAGAAGCCTCTTCCCTATATTCAGAGGAAAGAAACAGCCTTATCTCTGAAATCACAGGGACATCGACAAGAACCTAAAGAAACAGGACTTGCTAAGCCCTCCTCCTCACTTTGTTACCAGGAGATGATGCCCACCTGATCCAATCATACTTTCACAACTACTCGCCCATCAACCCTAAGCAGAAAAATACACAGGTTAACCTATCTCTTTGGGTCTTCATTGACACAGGATCCTCTTCCACGTAAAATTTATATTAAAAAATTGTGTGTGCTTTTCTCTTGTTAGTCTTCCTTCTGTTATGGGTGCCTCAGCCACGAACCTACCAATGGACCTAGAATAGCACAATCTGGTCCTATAAACCCCAGTGAAGTCCTCACTTGCCCTTGAGCTCTCAACAAGCTCTTCATGTGATAAAGATGAACTCAGAGACATCACGGGCTTCTGAGGGCCTGGTTACGTCAAGCAACTGCTTCCCCTTCAGCAACAGTAAAGGACTCACGGAAACTCCCCACCTGCGCTGCCCACACAGCTCAAGCTGCCGGCTGCTCCTAATTTTTCTGCCCAAGCCATGCAAAAGTAAAAGTGCCTATAAAACTTTTCCCTCGTCCACATAGCTTGAAAACTCCAGGTTTCATCAAAGAAGAATTGAACCTACCATCACTTAGGGTAATTAATAAGTCTATAAACTTTCTCTTTTAGAGTGAAATAATTCCCTTTTTTCCAAATGCTGACTCCCCTTAGACTGAGGGATTCCTGGTTAGGTAATTTTAAATGTCAACAACCACTGGGCTACAGACTAAAACTAATTTACATGTATGTAACACACTTTCCATGCATACGTATTTATAAGTAATGTATAAACAATATTGAAAAATCGCTTTTGCTCTATTGCAATATATAACTTCAGAAGAATATTACATTAAACACTGGAATATATGTGACATATATGTACCTTTTCTTTAGGGAAAAGCCTAGGAAAGACTTTAGTATCATAAAGCTGAAAGACAACTTGTCGGTCCATGTAATTCCCACACTAAGTAATATCCAACGTTTCTAAACTGGTTAGTGGATTCCATTCCTTTGAGAAAATGTATTTGCATATGCTCTCAATCTTATGCTGCGACTTATAATAGCTAATAGTTATTAAATGTTTACCTGGTTCCAGGTATTGTGCAGAATATTTGACAGAGTGTAACATCTCATCTACTCCAGACGGCACCTCGCTTGGTGGGGATTCCCACTGTCCTCAATTCACAGACGAGTAAATGGGGCTTCCTGATGTCGGTCCTTTCCCCACAGTACCTCGCTAAGAAGTGGTGAGATCAAGATTCTAATTCAGACATTCTGATCTAAAACCCTTGCTCTTTCCCACTATCCAGTGTTTGTTAATTTTTATTTTTTTTTTTATTGTTGGGTGTTCATTGAGGGTGCAAAGAACCAGGTTGCACTGATTTCATTTGTTAGATAAAGTCCCTTTTATATAATTGTGTCCTGCCCCCAAGAAGTGAGCCAAAGCGTCTGTTAAATTTGTGTCAGCATATGGCTCACCTGCAGTGCTTATTAAACATCGAGGCCCAGGCCATTTCCCCTGGAGATTCTGATTTAGTAGGGTGAGGGGACCCAAGAATCCATTTTAGCAAGAGGCCTACCCAGAAGGCTCTAATGAACAGTTAAGTTTGGGAAATTCCAGACGACACAGTACTAACTAAATCTCTGAAAATTTGAACATGTCGGACCTAAATTCAACTACCTCCTAGCTTTTAGATTGACTTTTTCTTCGAGGAGGGAGAACAGCAGAAATTCTTTCCTCTCCTTTGTTTCCTGAAGATAAAGAACAGCGGATACTCTTTCTTCTTCATTCCTTTTAGAAACTGTTAGAAAACTCCATATCCCCACACATGCATATAAAAACTGAAACATAACTATAGCCTAGGATGAAGGAGGGAAGGGGAGGGAGCAGGGAGGGAGGCGGGTGGGTCCATAGAGGGAGGGTTAGTAGGAGGATCACACCTAAGGAGCATATTGCAAGTACAAGTTGGATCTATCAGGTGTAGACCACAAATGTCTTAATCCTGTAATTGGGTAAATGAGGTGAAGGCTATGTCGTTTAGTAGGATATAAGCACTCCAATTTGTACAAATAATCAACACATTGAATCCCATAATGGCATAAATATATTTATAATCTATGTACAAATGACTTAATTAAAAAAAAAGAAAGGAAACTCCATATCCCAACATAAAAACTATATTGAGAAAACTATATCTAGAAAACATAGCAAACCATAACGTAATGATCATATTAACATATACTATAATAGTAAACAACTAATAATTACAACATCTTTTCTCTTTTATAATTCCCTTTGAATAAAACTAAGATAATCTCTATTAAATAAGCGTTGAATACATCAGATAAAATTAATGTAGAAACAGAAAACATGTTAAATATCAGACTGTTTTTAAAAGTCAAATTTTAAAAAAGAAAGCCAAAAGCTCTGGGAATCCCGAACTGTCTTTGGTGGTTAACTGATGTGATCAACATTTTACTATATGTAGTATGTAGCTGTTGACTGAGTGATCCCTTTCTTTTGTGTACTTTGGCAAAAACCCAACTTAAACATGTTCACATGCACACCTGAAACATTCCTGATAAGATGGGCTTTCACCAAGCTTATTTATTAGATTGTTTTCACTTTAACCAAAGAGTTTGCTAGTTTTACCAAAGACTGTGATCATTCCCCAGCATAAAATCACTCCCTGAGAGCGCCTTAAAATTGGCAAAACTACCCTTTAACTAACATCTCCACAATAAAGAAAATGTTTTTAAACAGTGAATATGTAACAAGGTAACATGTGTTCAAAATTCAGTACATTATCTCTCTCAAACTTTTATTACTGCAGGTGCAGAGAACAACTGCTCAGAGGCTTGCTAAGGGCAAGGTTCCCTTTAATGGAAAACAATTCCATTTATACACCTGTGTTTACAAAGATTATAGGTGAAAAGACCTAGGGACAGATTATGGAACAAGAGAATAACACTAAATGTTACCCTCGCAGAAGTCTGAATCAGTTCCCTTCAACCCTAGGAAAAAGAAAGGGTGAGAATAATCCTTGATCTCATAAAGATATCCCCAAAGATAAGCTGCTCTCAGAAATGTATGTCTAGTAATAAATGTGTTAGATAAGAGAAGACATTTTTATCCCCTCCCTCCAAAGAAGAAACAGTTACCAGGAGCAAAATCTAAGACTTTGTTGCACGTCACTTGTTATGTAGTTACCACTTTCAATCCAACGGGAATGCGCTGAACATCTATTATTTACTCAACAAATATTTGTTGAGACTCTACCATATGTAAAACATCATGCTGGGTATATGGCATGAAGAAAAGATAATGTGAAAGATTATGGGGTCGGTTTTGCAAGAAGCGAAAAAAAAAGACAAGTAAATAGAGATACTAAGTTAATCCATTCCTTCAGCCTTCATGGCCATATTATTTCTCATCAGGTCCTGTCTTGCGTCACCTGCATGGAGGATTAAGTTTCCAACACCTGCTTTTGTGGATACACATTCAAACCACAGCAATGGACATATCCATGTCTTGAAGGCTTGTAAGTTCCAAAACCATTAAAAGGGATGGTGTCTCCCCACAAGTGGACAGGGAAGACATGGGCTCTACTCCTCTCCTGAGTGTGCAGGGCCCCTTACAATTTGATTAAATAAAGTATTAAAAACTAATGAGCCTGTGTGATATTTAGCACTTGATGAAAAATCTAGAAATAGTACTTAAGTATATGATTTTTATTGTGTAATGAGTGAATAAACAGTAAGAGTCCTAATCTCTAGGTACCTACATCTCTTCCTGAACAGGCCCAGGAACTATTTCTTCATGCTCTTAATTCATTTCTTCTGTTCTTAATTTCCTGGTCCTTACAGCAAGGAAATGGTAGCATTATTACTCACTATACCACAGCTTTTTGGAACTTCTTGCTTCTGCAGTTTCCTGACACCAGTTCGTTCATCCTTAGGGAGCTGCCTCATCCCTAGTGCCACCGTGAATGATGCCGGGGGTCAGAGACTCTCAAAAGTGAGTGCACTTCATCCATGGTGGCCACCAAGCCAGTCTGACCCAAAGGCAGGAAAATGTAAATGATAATCTCTTTCTGGCCCTGTTACATTCACCCTGCCTCTTCCTGAACTCATCTGTTCACACTCACAACATTCCTGGAATGTGACCCATTTCAACATTGAAACTGCAATCTTGACTTTCACACCTCACCACCTGTGGGAAGATCAAGGGAGGAGCTGGGACAGAGAAAGAAGAGTCCATTAGAGCAAAGAATGTTCCTCCCTCTTCCAAGATGGCTTAAGACTGACCAGGAGAACAAGTGTCCACATAGATGGAAAACAAGAGAGGACAGGGATCAGAGGGCCCACTGGGAGTTACAGAGCAGTGGTCTTTAAAATCTTTAGAAGGCCGGCCTAGGGCATGGCCACCCTGTGGAGAGACAGGTGACCTCAGTGGGAGATAACCTGTGCCTCAGGTGCAGGTGACCCAGGTGTGCCTCTTCCTTGGAACACACAGAGGATGCCTGGGCCCCCACAGTGATTCTAGCTGAAGACTCAATCTCCCAAAGCTCTGCATTTATCCAGTGTCTATGTGGGGTGAGCCACTGATGGTCAAGGTATCAGTACCACTCTGGCAGCCCTGTCTTCACACAGTGCCAGAACACAGCCCTGTGCCAGTCACCAGCCCTGGAACTCAAGCCCCCTAGAATCCAGGGCTGAAATCCCAAGGACCTGTGTCTGGCTCCCAGTGGAGCAGGAGGTCACAGAATTCCTCAAGCAGGGAAACAAGGGGCCTGCAGTCCACACTTTGGGGTCTTGGCCCAGTACTGTTCCAGAACCCAAGGCCAATTTCAACTAGTTCTGGTCCCAGGAAGCAGATAGGGGCTTAGAAAATGTGGTGAGCCGCAGGTGAGAAGGAAAAAGGCATCTGTCTCTGCAGCTCTTCCCATCATTCTCATGACACTGAGCTCTGCCTCCTGCCAGGTAAGGGGCAGCGTCAGATTCTCAGAAGCATGACCTCATTGTGAACTGCACATCTGAGGGAGCCAGCTGCACGTGCCTTAGGAGAATCTAACGCCTGATGACCTGAGGTGGAGGTGCCATGCACTTGAATCAGCTCAATTCCATCCCACCTCCCCCCATTTGTGGAAAAACTGTCTTCCATGAAACTGGTACCTGGTACTAAAAAGGCTGTGGACCGCTGTACACACCCACATTTAGTGTGTCATTATCACAGTAATCACCTTGTGGAATCAACCTAAGTATCTATCAAGAGATGAATGGATAAAAAAATATGTATACACAAGGAAATATTATTCACCCATACAAGGGAAGAAATCCTGCCATCTGCAACAGCATGGATGGAACAGGAGAAGGTTATCCACGTGAAAGAGGCCAAACGCACAAGGACAAAGACTGCTCTCACCAGTACATGAGACCTGAAACAACTGAACTTACAGACTCAGAGAGTAGAGTGCAGGAAACCGAAGCTGGGCAGCCAGGGGAGGGCCGGGGAGAAGACCTCACAGGGCACGGGGGCCCCGGTCAGCCAGGGGAGGAACAAACACCTACAGCTTCTCAGAGTAATGGCGCAATCTGATGCAATAGCTACAACTGAGCTCTGTACGTTTCGACATCACCAAACGAGTCAATTTCCAAAGTTCTCATCACAGAACAATGTTAAATATTTGAGGTTATGTTATTTAACTTAATATTTCCACATAATACCACTTTAATGCCTATATTTTAATACCTATAAATATATACTACTGCGATTTGTCAACACATAATAAAAATATTTTAAAAGGTAAAATGCTTTAGATGAAATGTCAAAAATATATATCTAAGTATATATATGTATGTATGTGTGTATATATATAGAGAGAGAGACACACACACACACACACACACACACCCCAGTGGTGGCAGCCCTCGCATGGTGCTGAATGTTGCAAAAACTCCTTATCAAAATCTACCCAAAGCAAAATGTCTTACTCTGCATCTGGACTGGGAAGAACTAGAGAGAATCTCAAACGTGATGGAATAGGAAATACGATTATATTTCAAGCTGACACCCAATTGCACAACAATTGTCCTAAGCCTAGCCCTTCCTTGCAGTAAAAAATGAACAATTATCATCAGAATGGAAACTGAAAACACGATGAGGAATTTCGAGGAAACAGTCAGAGCTACCATGTCACAGAACTCATGTTTAATCTCACATCCAAGGAGGGGACCATGTCCTGGCTGGTGAGCTGCTGGGTAGACCTCCGGCTCACCGTATTTTCAGAACATCAGTGTTACCGGCCTCACCAAATGTGTAGACTGCAGCATTTGCACACAGGGCGCCCATTGTAAATAAATCTTTAAGTCAGTAGTTCTATTCATGCAATTTAGAAAATATCTATCAATTATCTGGTTTGCTCATTATAATAGCATCTTTTGGGGAGTTGTTCTCATTTTACTCAAATCAATGGTTGGCAGAATAAAGTTCAGAAAAATCTCTTTAAATGTCAAAGAGAAAGTTGCTATGTTTCTTTTATTTCTGACGGGAAGAAACGCATAGATTTGCAACATCAGACAGATAAGCAGCCCCACGGTTCCACATATCACGAGGCTCTGTATTAGCTCTTAACACATTGTCAGTTACAGCTTCTAAATTAGAAACCTTTGCAACTGTAGGCATTTTGTCAAAACCCATCAAAAGTTAACTGAAATATATAAAAATAAAAGTAATCTAAAATATGTATGAGGAAAATTACAATCATAACATGGAGTCATAACAAATTTATAACAAAAGCACACTTTTAAATGGCACAGTCAAGGGACCCAACGTAACAACATCCTGCCATCAAATTACCCTTATTTTTAAGAAGCCTGTGGTGTCAGGGTTCCAAAAGTGTGGGTACCAGCATTTAGGCCAATAACGTTTGTGCTTGCTTTCAATGACATTTTAGGAAAGAATGGTTTTCCAAAAGCCACTGACTTCTTACCATTTATTTCATCAGAAATTACACCTGCTTTAATCCTGACCATAGACTAGAACACACAACCCTCTCTGATGTTTTGTTCTGTGTAGTTCACTTCACAGTATTTCAAACATTTTTAAATAGTTTTTTTTTACTATTTTTCTGAGATTTAAAAAGCAACCTCAACTACTATAAATATTTTCAGTAGTAAAGCATTTTCCTATAATATAATGCATCCTAAAAAATTAAAATGAGAATTTTAGTTTATTTTTGTTCTTTATTATTTTATACATTCCTATTTCTGTGGTTTGAATTTCTATCTATTGATTAGTTCATAGTAACTGAAACAAATATCTATAAATATGTACATTAACTTTTCACAGGTTTCAAAGTAAAACAGTATTTCCCATGTATGCATTAAGAATTTTTATGTAAACATTGTATAAAACTACCAGTTAAACTACTATTTTAGCAGTTAGATTAAAAAAAATATGAACAATAAAATTCAACAGTTCATTTCACTTGGATCAGAGCTAAGATAGTAACCCGTTATACTGTACAGAAGGCTGTGATTTTTAATGCAATTAATAAATGCTTACAAGAGTATTCCTTGTTTGACATCCTTTGTAATATGTAAATCTAATTTTCCCCTAATTTATTGAGGGGAAACTCAGAAACATAGAAAATCAGTAGCCACTTCTAAGCTCATAAGTCATCTCTTAGGGCTGACCACACATTAGCTCATCCAGAAAGTCTGCCAAAACTTAGATATATCAGCTACAACTACAATTATTACCAAGTAGTTTTAATAGTGTAGGTTATATTTTCCAAATAAAGAAGGAAGGAAAAAATAAAATGATGAAGACAGGATGATAAGATGAGGACAGGAGTACAAGTAAATAAATAAGTGAGAGAGATGGAATTCCTTTAAGCTCACTCAGGAGTCCTTTCATTTGGATGCTGTGGGTGCAGAGGGGGCTGGTAACAGAAGTGGAAGATAGAGCCTATTAGGAAACTCTCCACGTCCTTCCGAGGACAAGGCTTCAGCACTTCAGCTGCACCATTTTTATCTTGGGGAGCTGCACCTAAGATGCCATTTGCAAAGCTATCCTGCTGAAAGGAGAAAGAAAAAGCTTTGAAAATCATCGACCTAATTATTACACTTCACCTTATTCCTTAAACTGGACAGAAAACCATGTAAAGCTCTGATGTCCGAAAGCAAGTTTTAAACTGGCTTTTATTTAAAACTTGAGTTTGGAATAGCTTTATTCTCTACTTGCATTTCCCAGATGGTTCCCACAACACTGGAAATGCCCACCAGTTTCTTCCAAGACCCTCTGACCTGCTCCAGGAAGACAACCGAATCCCCTCTTCAGAGATGATAGATAATTCATGCTGGCTAAGAGGACAGGGGCCAGATGATCCCGCCTTCTTAGCCATAAGAAGTGGACCTGGGTCACTCACAATTTTTCCTCCTGGAATTTTGCAGTTATGATGCACAACTGTCATCAACATCTGAGTGTTTGAACAGAAATACATAAAAAACTGCAAAAGTCATCTATGGCAGAAACACAGAGACAGAGAAGCAGATTCACAGTTAGACAGGAGAGACTGAAACAAACATGCAGACAAAGACAGAAGAAGCTCCGGAGAAACAGTCAAGTTCATTCCTCAGTTCAAGGTCCTGGCTCCTAGCACTTCCTGAGGCCCAGCTGAAAAATGCCTGTCTGTTCTTTTCATCTGGAATCGCTAATACATCCATTCTCTGTAGTTCCTCCAGTTTCTAGATCCTATCGCT